AGAGGCCATTTGGGTGAACTACGTTCGGCTTGATTCCTTGGGCAAGAGGATACGTAGGCAGTCTTTCAGAAAGTCTGACGGTCGACCGCCGCGGTCGACCGCCAACGTGCACGAAGCCTACCAGGATTCGGAGCAGGTGTCGGTCGACCGCCGCGGTCGACCGCGGATGACTGTAAGCGATTTTTGCTATCGTGACTGAGATTCGGTCGACCGCGAGACCCGCACGGTCGACCGCCGTAGTCGACCGACGATGAACTGGGCTGGGCCTTTCGGTTTTTGACCCGTTTCGTTTCTGAGTTGTATATAACTCAAATCCTGATTGTTTAGGGTTATGCAAGGACGAATTTGAGCAGTCTTGAAGAGAGAATTGTTGCATCCAATTGTGGGAGAGTTGAGAGAGATCAAGAGCTTTGTTTTAGGGTTTGATCTGAGAGATTTGTAACTCTACTTGTATTCTCTGATTTCTAATAGTAAGAACTCCCCCCCTCCTTGCCCCGTGGACGTAGGCAACTTGCCGAACCACGTAAATCTCTTGTTCTTGCTGGGATTGTGGTTTGCATATTAGTTGTGGTTAGTTCGAGTTATTGTTCGTGTTGCCAGAGAAAACTTCTGCCGCGCACAACAATGCGGAGGTTGTAAGTATGATAAATCACATTAATTATCATATGAGAGATTAGAGTGAGAGCCAATGAACGTTTAGACCTCATGTATATATTCTGATGTATTTAATCGAGTGAAATAGGAATCAATTAGTGACGCAGTATGATCACTTCATCGATGACCTCTCGAAGTATTTCATGTTTGTTGTTTAAAGGAAAAGTCTAAAAACACTCTTCAAATTTAAACAATTCCAAGAAAGTATTAGAGGAGAACACAAAAAGAAGATTAATCAATATCTATGCTTGGACATCAGGAAAGAGTACACATCAAACGAGATATGAGACACCTGAAGCAACATTACATTCAACGACGATTGACTTCAATGATAGTTGACTAGTCCGTATGCTTCGTAATAAAACGTAGTCGTAGAAAGAAGGAATAAACATCTTCAAGAGATATGCAGAAGCATGATTCATGTCAAGAACACGTCGACAATGTTTTGAGGTAGCATATGAAGACTGGAATACATATGATAAATTTGTTATCATAACCGAGCTCACGCCACGGTTGCCACCCTTTTAATAATTATGGAATACGAAGTCCACTGTGATTTTTTTTGGAACTTTGATTACGTATGTTATGTTTTTGGCGCCTTATCACCAAAACAGTAGGTTTGCCATGAAGGTTATGAGATGCATCTTTGTGGGATACAATGAAAGAATGAGAGGGGAAAAAACCAATTGCTCGAAATCACCACTCAATGATGGATCTTAATTAATCTATACAAGCATTATGCCCATGCTCGCACGAGTTCATTTTTTTTATTTGTATATCTAATCTTCTTGTTCAATAGACTACTAATATCTGTCCTCAAGAAATTGAAATAAGGGTAAATTTTCACTAAACGACCAATAGGATTGGGTGTTTGACACTAAACCTTCATCTTTCAAACTCTCAATAAACCCTCAGTAACTTTCAGTAGAAGCCTCCCTAATTAACATTGTTAATTAATGTGTAGTCAATACCCTCAATAAATTTTAGAAGAAGACGCCTAATAATTTTTAGTTTTCTCACTTAACCCCCAATAACTTTGGTAAAAAACCATCAAAAAACCCCAAATGATGGTTATTTATTATTTTCAGGTTCTATGTAACTCAAATTTTTTGGGAGGTTGTTTCTAATTTTAAGATTTTAAAAGCCGTTGTTTGTAATTTTTGGTTTTTTGGGGGACTAATTATAATATTCTAATTTTTTGGTAGTCCTTTGTATTTTTTTATAAAAATTTTAGAGTGTTCTTGCAATTTTTAGATTTTTAAAGGCTTTTTTGCAATTTTAAATTTTTTGAAGGGTTGTTTGTAATTTTTATATTTTTAAGGGACCTGTTTGATGTTTGAAATTTTAAGGGAGTTGTCTATAAATTTCAGAATTTAAAGGAGATGGTTTGTAATTTTTAGATTTTTCGTAAGTATTAGAATTTAATGGGGGTTTTGTGATTTTTAGATTTTTCATATTATTTAGAGGGCTAATTTTTTTCTTTTTTGTATTTTTAGTAGTTGTTTGTAATTTTTTTAACTTAATATGCAAATAGAAATAATTTGAGGCATATACATTGACCTTGAGGGATAATGTTTCTCAGTGTAAAATTATAAGGTAGTGCAAAAAATCAAAATATTTTGATGGTTTGCTAAAATTATAAAACTTATTGGGGGTTTTAAAAAATTTGCAGGCTTAGTGCCAAACGACTAAACTTATTAAAGATTTACTAAAATTTATCTTTTAAAAAAATTAAGGAGATCCGAGTGATATTTTTTTGGAATTTAAGGCTAAATAGTAAACCATTAATTTCTCCTTTATATATAAAGGAAAAGGTAATTTAAAATGTGATTAACAATTTTTTTAAAATTATGGATAATTAAAGAGAATCAAAAATAAAATATTTAATTTCTTAGTTATGAATAATTATGATTTGATTAAGGTTACTAGATATTTGATTATAATTAGAATTAATAATTATGGATTGATTTTAGTTGATGAGGATTTTAATTATGGATAAAGAATACTCATTCATATAAGAATTCTAATTTAATATTAAAATAACATATGACATATTTCATTATTTTATGCGCTTAGATGGTTCTATTTGGTGCCTTTAGGAGGAGTACCAACATATTCTTACCTGACCATGACCATATCAATATCTGTTAAAGGTCTATGCTACTACATCAAGACTCTGAAGTTGTGGTGAATGTTGAAAGTTATAATTTTATATTCTAAAATGCCTCTACAAATTGATCACATTTTTACGGAATGAAACCTAGACGCAAGGAGCTATTTTTTAATCCGCTTTAATTAGAAATTTGTGGCCAACAATTAAACTTCAAACCTAGAATGCTCTTATATTATGTCAAATGTCCCTGCCACTATACCAAAACTCCAAAGTTCAGATGATGGTTGAGGGTAATAACTTTATGCTGAAGTATTGTATCCAGTATAAACAAATCCTAAAGCTTTCCAATGAAGAACTATCAAAAGAAGCAGTGATCATGAACGTAGCAAAAAAGGAAAAAAGAAAATGTAAATAATATATCGTGAACGTGGTAAAAAAGGAAAAAAGAAAATGTAAATAACATAGTATGTATCCTATCTTAATTTAACACCCCGCGCCGTGCGAGGTAGTTCTGAACCGAATACTTAGGCGCGGTTATGTGGGATGCATAAGGAGTGAAGGTAATGTGAGGTAATGTTAAATGAGGTATGAGAAAGGATATACTTTTTATAGTTCTTATTTGGTTGGAGAGAGAATAAAGGAAGGTACATGGATTTTTAGTTCACTTTACAATATTATCTCTTCTCAAACTTATGTCCCTCTAATTTGGAGGAATTTTCTCTCTCTTAACTTTCTAGTTCATTTTGTATGTTCTCTTTCCTCACGTTAACTTACTCCACTTCATCTTCCTCTCAAAAAGCTCATTACCAAAAAAGATTTTTAATTTTATCCCTCCCCTTACTCTACTCTCATTTTACCAAACCAAGCCTAAGTGGGTGATGGGGGTATAATGGTAATTTTCATGCCCCTACAGTGGAGATTGCCATCCACTGCGGGGTGTTCCCATAAACATGAGGGGCATTTGTAAGGACGATGTAAAATATGAGGATAACATCTAGTACATGAACACTGTTGGCAATTAATACGGAGAATGAAATCTACCAAAGCAAAGCAACACTGAATCCCACATGCATTAACTACTGTTCCCCAATAGATTGTACAACAAATATGCTAAGAAATAAATTGCCAGAATGATGAAAAATTAGGTAAAAGTCATGTATTTGAGAGGAGAAGACAAGGCTTTCACACAATAAATACTACACCTGTGATATTTTGGAAAAGACAGCAATGAGCCATAGTCATTAATTACTAATCCTGATTACCAACATTAATGAAGACGATGAACCCATAGTCATTGCTAATCGTGATTACCAACATTAATTAGCCAAAGACAAGCTATAGATACATAGCATTTGCTATTTGGGATCTTGAGGAACTAAGCTAGGGAGACATGAAGTTTGACTAGCATTTGCTTTTTGGGACCTTGAGGAACTATGGAGGAAGACATGAAATTTGAATAGACGAAATCGTTCAGGTGAGCGCGTGTAGACGTGATAGTCAGTGATTCCACTAAGAGAGGATTCTTGAATTAGTAGATCGATTTTCAAATCTGCCTATTTAAATCGATCCAAGGACTGTCTTCCACGGGATCCCTAGTTGGCCAGTGGACAAGTTTCACCGAATAGTTTTCTGCCTGAACACGTTATTCGGATGAAGAATAAGTGCAGGTAAGAAAGTTTTGTGACACTCTTCTCTATTGGCGGGCTTAACATTAGCCTAATAAACTATGCTTAATTCGGGTGTTATATATATAGTACCCTATATATCAAATGCAAAACACCAACCAAACTTAAGAAACTTATTAGCAAAGGATTGGCAGGAAGCATTGGGGTTAGCGTCAAGAAAGTGGGGCATTTATTCTCCAACCCACATCCCAAGGGGAATGTTTGTGAAGGACCCCACCTCCATAAAAAGGATTTGACGCATCAAGAGCGGAGGTGATTTGCCACATAATTTTAATAAAACAAAAAATAATATGTATTATATGAGAAAGGAGAAGAGCATGGAGGGCAAGGAGTGGTGATAACGTGAAAGCAAATGTGGTGAGTGGGGTGCAAGAATCATTAGGTAAAAAGACTATAGAGGTTGAGGCAGGTGATCTGGTCTCCAATTCCTATCAAATTAAAAATCACTTTGCTCTCGTTCTCTTACAGAGAGACCCCTCACGAGCGGAAAGAAGGCAAATTAATGGTAGGGTGATGGGAGGATGTACTTTTTTTTTTCTTCCAGCCCCTCATTGTGATGCAACAATTGTAGAAATGCCCCTAGCATCGATCAACCTGTAATAACATGTGAAGCAAGGGTAAAAGAGTTAAAAGTGTGATCATACCTACTAACTCTCGGTTGCTCTCCTCCTCAGCTCTTTGTGCTTTCATGTCTGGCAAGAATCTTGGTTGGGGTGGTGAGACATCGACAGACCTGCTACACATGAGGGAAAAAGGGAATGACACATAGAAAGTTTTAAACATTATAAAAATGTCTATAGGTCCGCAACTTACATCATAACATATAATAATTCACCCATCTTCTCATTCCATTATATATAATAAAATATAAATAAACAATTAGATACGATTTTCTTTCGATCTAACAGTGCTTACAATTAATTTATATATCAAGCTCCATCAATGTAGCTAGTACAACACTAACATTATTACCAAATCCACCATAATATACCACATATTAACACATAAATGCCCAATCCATGAATTAGGCCATGTGAATTAGATCTCAAATATGAAGAAAGAGGAATTGGCGTTCCCTTTTCATACCCACGTCCAAAGTCCAACCTCGTTAAAGACACCCCCCTTGAAGCTAACCTAAAAAGAAGCTTCACATGTCCAATAGTAGTGAGAATAGACCCTCAAATAATAAGATTAAAAATCAAAAGATAAGAAAAAAAAAACGAAAGAAATGCAAGTGAAAAATTAAAGAGAAGGAATTCCATCCAAGTATGATCCTATTTTCAGTTAGCTAGTGACCCCTCCAGTGATGATCATCATAATTTAACAAATTACCACAGCCTAATTATTCCCTCTTAGTCGTCTCTAATTACCCTTAATTAATCATCCTACCAAATTCCCTCTCCTCCTCCACCTCCACCTCCTCCCATCATCCCATTCCAAAACCCTTGACCATCCCCTCCTCCGCTTTGCACCATCCATACCAAAACTCAAGGCACTCGACCTGAAATCTTGCACTCCGAAACCCGAAGGATACTCCGGTATCGGCATCGGATGCATAGGCATGAACGGGCTAGGGTTAGGAGTAGGGTTCAAACCCCTCCCCCTCAGAAGCTCCATAGCAGAGGTACCAGCATTGGTGCATGGAGGGAATTCAGGAAGTATCGGAAAGGCCAGGTTCAAGTCGTGGTTATGATTAGGGTTAGGGTTTTGCTGCTCCGAGACGACTTCTTGACGGAGAAAGAGGAAGCAGTGCAGCGACGGGGGTAGCGCACGTGGAGGTGAGGAGGCAGGAGAGGAGGCGCTTGTTCTTGCGGCAGCCGCCGCCGACGGGGAATTACGGAGCGGGAGCACCTTCGGTCGCAGTATCGGCGCAGGTCTTGGCAGAAGTACCCTCGGCTGAGTGAGAGCTGTAGTTGTGTAGTACCAGAATTTGGTGGTGGGTGGAGTTTGCACGCGGGGGCAAGTGGAGGCTTGCTCCTTCTGGCGGCCCGAGCTCGACGCTCTCTGCCCGCCGGCGCCCGCCTCCATAGCGGCCATTAGTTGATGAGGCTCGCAGCTGAGGTCTACATCATGCTGGTGCTGTTCCTATAGAGCTGCAGCTGAGGTCTAATCATGCTGGTGCTGTTCCCTATAGAGATGTTGCTGTTGATGACCGCAGAGGAGGAGGAGGAGGGGACTAGCTCCTCCATGGGCTTTACTAGCCCCATGTCCTGAAACCAAGATCAGTGTTAATCCCATATCACTCACCATAGAATCAAAAAAAAAAAAAAAAAATCATGATCATAGACTGATAAGAGGCAGCATATTTTAAAAAAAAAAAAAAAAAAAAAAAATCATGATCATAGACTGATAAGAGGCAGCATATTTAAGAGGAGAAAGAGGTGATGCGAAAGAAAGGTATCATGCATACAGCTTTGTGCACATCACAAAGAACCAAACGAATTAAAGGCAAATGCCCTTTTGAATGACACCAGAGCTTCATTGCATAAAGGGATTGGAAGAGAGAGAGAGAGAGAGAGAGAGAGAGAGAGAGAGAGAGAGAGAGAGAGAGAGAGGAGAGAGCTTTTGAATGACACCAGAGCTTCATTGCATAAAGGGATTGGAAGAGAGAGAGAGAGAGAGAGAGAGAGAGAGAGAGAGAGAGAGAGAGAGAGAGAGGAGAGAACTAGCTCCATCATTGGCTTTGGCTAGTAATCGATCCCACATAATTTCCGGAGCATAATATGAATGAATAGTAATCCCATATAATTCACCATGAGCCTCTACAAATCAACTTTATCAGGCAAAGAGGTGATAAGAAAAGTGAGGGAAAAAGATATGAGAGAGAGAGAGAGAGATTATCATGCGCATAACTTTGTGTACATCACAAATAGCAAAACAAAGCAATGCCCATATTGAATTGAATGACACTAAAGAGTTTTATTGCATAAAGAGAGATTGGAAGAGAGAGAAAGCGAGGTATCTTCCATGTGCTTGACCAAACCCATGCCCTGAGCACAATATCAATAATAATCCCATATCATTCACCATGAGAACCAGAAATCAAGATATTGGATAAAGGGATGATATATATGAAGAAAAGATAAGGAAAAAGATGAGGAAAGAGAAATCATGGTTCATGCACATAACTTTGTGCACATCACAAAGAACAAAGCAAAGCAAAGCCTCTTTTGAATGACACAAGTGCTTTATTGAATAAAGGGGGAGAGAGAGAGGGAAAAAGTAGTGAAAAAGGAGGTGACAAAAGATTAAAAGAAAGAGGTGGGGGAGATGCAGTTTGGTCTGATGCAAAGATCTATATACATGAAACCAAAAGGAAAAAGGAAAAGAAGAACTTTGTGCATAAATTTCATCAACACACAAAACCCAATATCATATACCAAAAAACAAGAAAAAGTAGGGGAAAATAAAAGATGAAAGGATCTATATGAGATCTATACCTGATGAGGCCACTGAGCAGTATCCATGCAGGTTCTTGCTCAAGATTTAATTTTGATGGTGTTTCTCTTCTTCTTCTTCAATCTAAAAAAGAGAGGAGATGCAAGCCTTCGAGGTTTTTCTTTCTTATCAAACCTTTTCCTATCAAAAGAATGTCTTTGTGGCTGGCTGGCTAGTGTGAGTGGAATTATGATGTGTTGTTGCCTTTCATATCTTAGAGAGGGAGATAGGTGGTGGTTCTTTCTAAAATATTATTAAATAAAATATTAAATAGAAATTTTGCATATTTATACTCCAAAAAATCACAATTTACTCATTTAAATTTCCAAAGTAGTAATTACATGTTTAACGTTAAAAAATATAATAAAAAAATTACCGATACAAATGTATTGGCGGTTCTTCTTGGTGCACATTAGCAGGCGATTTTTTGCCTGCTAACTTGTGCCCCCGCCTTGATTTTAATGGCGAAAAAAAAAGAAAAACAATGGAGCCAAGATCTAGAAGATTGATTTGAGTGCCTCAAATTCTTGTGAGCGATCATCTGAGTATCAATCTGAAGCAGGTTTGGCTGGAGATGATAAAGTCTTAAATCATGAGGTCATGGGATCTACGGGACCTAGAGGATAGAAGAAGAAGCTGCTGATGGCGGATATTCTCAACTCCAGCAAGTTCTTGGTGAATTCTCTTCAACCTCAAAAATCTCCTGAGGTTTTTGGATTTCAATCGAGACAACTCTGTAAGTCCTTGAACTCTGTTACTGGTGAATGTAGTTCTTTTCAAATTTCTTGGGCAGGTGATCTTGAATTAGATATCTCATCCAAGAATCATTCGGATTTACTAAAAGATGATGCATCTTTGAATTTGGATTCTTCCTTGACTCTAGATAAGATCTCTGAGAATCTTAATAGGAAAAATTCTGAATCTGTTGATAATTTTCACCAAAATAGTTCAGAAATAGATTTCTTGAATGGCAAAAATTTCCCTCCACTTGAGAAAACTGCTAATGTGTCAATTCCTGATCCTGTAACGGTAAATAAAAGTTGGGTGAGTTTTTTCGCCGATAATAGAAAAACTGGAAATGGTTTTAGCCTGAATTATATGCCTCCTGGTGTTAAAGATACATTTACCTTTGATGAAGATGAATGGAATGAAGGGGGATCTTTTTGGAAATTTTCTTTAATTGGACAGATATTCGGTCTAAATACTAAGTTCAAAGCCATGGAAAATTATGTGCAGAAAATTTGGGGGAATTTGGCAGTGCCTGAAATTTTTCTTCTAAAACCTGGTTTTTTTCTTTTCAATTCAAAAACATAGATGATATGAAAAGCATTTTCAAGAATAACCTTGGTTCTTTGGTTCCAGGCCTATTCTCTTGAAACCTTGGAATATCGATGAAGACTTGGAGGAAAAAAAAGAGAGTGTTTACCCTATCTGGATATAATTACTAGGTTTGAGGCTGAACTTATGGAATGCAAAGAGCAATAGCAAAATTTCCAGTATTATAGGAAAACCAATTACTACTGATATGCTTACAGCTAATAGGCAAAGACTTGCATATGCTAGAGTTTTAGTGGAAATAAACTTGGCCTCTGCCCTTCCTGATAAAATTACAATAAAAGGACCAGATGGAAAAAATATCATGCAGAAGGTATATTATGAGTTGAAGCCTAGATGATGTGAAGTATGTAAAATTGTGGGTCATGACACACTACATTGTAGGAAACAGGCAAGGGTTCAAATATGGAGGCCTAAACAAAAAGTAGATCCTTCAGTAAAAAAACTAGAGTGGAATCTGTTATCTCTCCTGATGGTGTAAATAAAATCCAGACAAATACTCATGTCCTACTTGACCCTGTCTTACTTGTTCAGAAGCTTATTCAAGCACAATCTGTGCCGCAAATGCCTATTCAAGCACAATCTGTGCCACAAATGCCTGTGAATACATCTCAGAGTGTTGGGATTGAGCAGGTTTTAGGAAATGGTGTTGGAATGAATACTGATAACTTTACAAATGAGAGGGCTCCAATACATGCTGAGCAGATGAATCAAATGGAAAAAAAGAGAAATCTTGAGCTCGGGAAATGTTTCAGCTGGAAAAAATGTTGTGCATGTTGTGCATGTTTCACAGTCAGATTCTGATACTCATACACACTCAGGAAAATCTTGGATGCTAATGCAAAGGGGAAAAAAGTAAAAAGAGGCTCTCACCTATTAATTTATTCTCCTCACTAGCTGGAATAGTATGTGATCTAGATCCCTCTATAATGGATAGAGGGGATCAAACCTTATGAATTTTTCTTTTTAGAATGTTAGGGGACTAAACAAGTCCTCTAAAAACAACACCTAATCAGGCAACATATTTCACAGTATCATTTTTTTTAATTGCCTTGCTAGAAACAAAAGTAAAGGAGGTTAAAATTCCAGCTATAACAAAGAAAATTATCACTAATTGGAAATGGATCTCAAATGTATCAGGCACAGAAAAGGCAAGAATACTGATTTTATGGGATCCTGATTTAATGAATATACAAGTTGATTACATTTCTCCTCAGCATATAATTTGCACTGTCAAAACTATGGATGGGAGGATAAATTGTATTCTATCTTCTATCTATGGTTTTAATCATCAGGATTCAAGAAAGTCTCTATGGACTGAGCTCCTCCAAGTACATCAGACTGTTGGAAATACACCATGGCTTTTATGTGGGGATTTCAACACTATGATCAATAAAAGCTAGGAGGAATTGCACTTACAGATGCTGATATGAAAGACTTCAATTCTTTCATTGAAGACAACCATCTCTTGCACCTAAAAACTTTAGGTTGTTTCTTTACCTGGAACAACAAACAAGACGATGATGCTAGGGTTTGGTACAGGTTAGATAGGGCTCTTGTAAATGACTCCTGTATCCATAAGTATAACTCTAGTCATGTGGAATTCTTGCTTCCAAACTTCTCAGATCATTCTTCTGCATTAGTTTCTATATACGAGGAGGATAGGCAAGGTAAAAAGCCTTTTAAGTTTTTTAATATGTGGATTAATCATATCAACTACTTGCCTACAATATCTTCAATATGGCAGAGGTAAATTGAAGGGTTCAAAATGTATTCAGTTGTTACAAAACTCAAACTGATGAGGGAAGCTCTAAAGGATTTAAATAGAAAACATTATGGAAATATTAGTGAACAAGTAGAAAGAGCTAAATATGCACTGGAGGAAGTTCAAAATAAGCTGCAAGAGGATCTTCTCAATCCTAGTCTTATCAAACAGGAAAAAGTTTGCTTGTATGCTTATAATAAACTCTTGCAATGTGAGTTATCTTTTCTCCAGCAAAAAACAAGAATTCAATGGAGCATTAAAAGAGATAGATGTACAAGCTATTTTCATTCTATTATCAAAGCCAATAGGCACCAGAACAGAATTCTAGTTCTTACAAACAACATGGGTGAGAGAATTACAGAGGGTGGGGAGATTGCAAATGAACTTGTCTCTTATTTCAAAAATTTTATGGGTACATCAAGTGCAACATCTCCTCCAGAAATCAGGATTATTAAGAATGGTCCTTGTTTGAGTGAAAATCATATAAAGAACCTTTCTTCACCAGTCACAAAAGATAAAATTAAGAGAGCTGTTTTCTCCATGGCAGACAATAAGTCCCCAGGACCAGATGGCTATTGTGCTTCTTTCTTTAAGTCAGCATCGTCTACTATAGGAGATGAAGTTACACTTGCAGTTGAAGAGTTTTTCAGCACAGGAAAATTACTGGGTGCCATAAACTCTACTTATATTACACTAATTCCTAAGGTATCCTGTCCAAAAAACTCCTACAGATTTTAGACCAATTTTATGTTACAACTGCCTATATAAAATCATTTTAAAAATCCTTGCAAATAAGATTCAATCAATCATAGGGTATCTCATTAGTGAAGCACAAAGTGCTTTTGTAAAAGGAAGAAACATAACAAACAACATTCTGTTAGCCCATGAATTGGTTAAAAACTATGGAAGGAAGCACATCTCTCCTAGAATCATGGTTAACATTGACATTAGAAAGGCTTTTGACACTATTAGTTGGAATTTTATAAAGGAGATGCTTCAAGGCTAGGGTTTCCCTAAGGATTTG